CTCCTCCTAGAGCACCATTGTGTTCTTTTTTAACCAAATCTCTCTCAGAGGGGCGTGGGGAGGGGCTCCTTAGTTTTCATCTAAAGCACCAGAGAACTCGCCGACTGTTGCGTCGCCGCGTTCTCCTGCGTCTTGCCAATGTGTCGCACTGGAACACACCGCAAAGACTTCAGATGAGCACGTATGAACTGCGCATGCGTGAGTGGCAATAACTCTCCTTACCAGCAAGCGGCGGTAGTGTGTATTTGTCATTCAAAAGAGGCAACAACCGGAAGACAGAGAAATAAGGCGTGTCACGGCCGACGGTGCGGGACACACCAAATTGAGTTTGGGCGACAGGGCACGCTTCGTCGTCCGACTAACGAAAACGGCCGATTTCGGCCTGGTGTGTCCGGGCCTTAAAGTAACAGACAGAGAATCAGCACTTTTGAAACAGGGCTGAAACAGAGGGGATTATGGGTAATGCTGTAATGATCTGTTTGGTGTTTGGAGCCGAACACTTGAGAGACATGTTTGTATATATCTGAGACCTATAATATATTGATGAAAAACAGTATAATAGGGGACCTTTAACTTAGTGTTCATAATCTTCTCGTCATAGCCTCTAACCATCCCGTTTAGAGAGGAACTAGCAGTGGGTGAATATGGGGAATCTTCTGCTGGCTCTGTTGTTGCTCAGCTCTTAAACTTGTGAGAATCAGAGAAGACCTTCCTCTCCTCCGACTAACAGCTCAATGCATCCTCTTGTACCGAAGTTAGCCTTGAAGCTTGTTTTCTCTTTGTCAGTTTATTTGCATTTTAACTCAAGGTCTTCCCTAGAAACAGAGAGGCGCTGCTAAACTTGAAAATCAGTGCAATACTTAACTTGAAGCATTCCAACATCTCTGCATACATACATTAATGACCCCCGGTCCCATTTAATAAAGTTCATAATGTACGGCATGACAAACCAGGTTGTTAAAAACACTTTATCATTTAATTCAGTTTGGTATGGGCTAACGGATTGTACAGATATCACCTGATGATTGAAGGGAACTGGTCAGAGTGCAAACATCACCAAAGCTACCTGTAATCAACTTTATAACAGTATAACCTTTTTCCCTTGTGTTACATTTATTTTGTAACAGTGCAAATATATCTGTAGAAAACTGAAGCATCATCATATTCTGAATAACACCAAATTGTGGAAATTACAGATTAGGATCACTAACATTTTTTACATTTCACATAGCTGTAATAGAAATCTGTATACAAGAAAATATGAGATATACAGAAAACAGTTAAACATCGAAATGTAGTAAACACATCTCTGTAATGTGCCTATTGTTCAACAGTATAAGGATAGTTTATACTTGTCTTGTAACTAAATGAACACAATGTACAAAATATCTGTCTCATGACACAGTTGCAGTTAGAATTTCACACCTCTACTTATTATAATGACAAGTTGTATTCCTGTTCTCATTAGCAGGCACACAGACTAATGTTTGTTTCTTTGCAGAAGTGGGGCGGCTGGGCCGCTCCTCCTCTTCTGCCGGAGTGAGACAGGTGGGTGGAGGAGACGTCCAGAGACAGAGCAGCCTACCAGCTCGAGAAGCCCTGAATCAGGTTAATATACAACACCCAGCCGTATAAATATAGACTCTATTCAATGTAACCATGGTGGATTTGGGAGTGCACATTAATATTGGTCTCATTATTACTTCCCCTCCTGCTGGAGACAGTGCTCATGCAGATCTATTTATAGCTGCTAGATATGCCCACTGAGCAGAATAAGGCTCAGGCCTGCCTCAGAATGATCAGAGCTGCAAAGGTATCTGACGCAGGCGGATATGTAGTCAGAAAATGGGAGAGAATAGAGGATTCGAGAACATGCTGTTCTGTGTTTTGGAGTGATGAGCTGCAGTCTTCCAGCAGCACATTTTGCCCAGATTCTAGCTGCATAGCAAGTGCTGACGCAGTTTGAGTGTGCTGCAGAGACGGTCTTCATGCGGCTGGCTGACCCTCCTTCAACCTGTGATAGATGAAGCAGCGCTGCATTCTCCTGGCTGTCCACAGGAACTGCAGTTGTATTCAACATGTGCTAGGATTGTCTGCAGTGAGCATGCATTTGTATTCATGTATCCAAATAAATTCACTCTACTTTTTTCCAATTCATCCAGCTCCACGGTCTGGCCCAGCCTCAAGTGCCCTGCAGTCCGGGCGTGTCTCGGCAGCAGCAGCAGCTCCAGCTCCACCAGCAGCAGCTGCAGTTGAAGCAGAAGCTCCAGCAGCTCCAGCAGCAGCACCACCTTCAGCTGCAGTTCCAGCAGCTCGCCCAGCTGGCTCAGGGACACCCTCCTGTGGGCGGGGGCTCCTCCACCTCCGCCTCGCAGAGCCAGAGAGACGGCAAGCTGCTGGAAGTCATTGAGCGTAAACGCTGCCTGTGCAAAGAGATCAAGGCCCACAGGCGCCCTGACAAAAGCCTGTGCAAGCAGGACAGCATGCCCATCCTCCCTAGCTGGAGACGGACACCTGAGCCCCGTAAGACTGGCACGCCGCCCTGCCAGAGGCCGCAGGCCGTAGTTTGGGACACGGCAATCTGAGGGGGATAGACAGGGCTGCTAGTACAGCTCTGAAGAGACTCAACACACACATGAGGTGAAGATGAGGAGCAGTTAATAAGAACGGAGAGTCAAATGGGTTTAGGATCAAGATAATTCTTGCTTTTATTGTGAGATAAACTGAACGTAGATTACTGGAAACTATGAACTCATTTGGGGGGGGGGGAAGGCTGATCAAAGAGGGGAGGAAATGAAGTATTACAATCAGACTAAATTCATCTCTTACCCGGTGATTTGTACTTGCTCTGTGTCCTTGATGTGTTCTAATTGCCAATGCTTTGTTGCCACAAAACGCCAGTGTTTTTGCCACAAAATGAAGACGCCAATTCAATAATGGTTGGGATGTTTTCTTAGATTGGTGTTGCCAAATTTCCTGCTGACTACTTGAGACATAAATGAATAATATATTTTATCCAACACACAGTTGTCCAAACTTGCATAGAAACTGCTCTGTGGGCGAGAAAAGGCAAGACTCATTGACAAGTGGTTGAAGTGTTTCTTGAAGTCGTGAATGCATTTGAGATGTATTGGTATCAATAGATTGTCATTGTGGATGCAAATAATCATCACGAGGAGTAAAAGCTACCTACTGTATCTGTTTGCATATTTGTAATGTAAATCTATTTACTTTCTCAACGTTTCTGCAATTTTATAGCAATATGCTCCAGATGCCGGAGCAACATAATTAAAAACTTGTCAACTAGCCTAACATACATATCTAAAGACTTGAAAAGTCATATTTACTGTGTCATTCTCTGCATGTCACGATAGACATATAGTATTGTAAAAGACTATGTGTAGAGATGATCATGTCAGACCTTTACATACAGCGGATCTTCACTATGATAACATGTGGTTGTATAAAAAGATTAATATATATCGCCCGGGGTCGTTAGAGAGGGCGGTGCGACAGATGGCACATACTGTGCAGTCCAGCCAAATATAGATACAGATCAATGATACAAAAAAACGTCATCACTCATGCTTATCCACAGTTGCACATTAGTGATTGTTCCACCACACAGCACTGACACCCATTTACACTGACTGTACGATACGGTGCAACTGATAAGACTGTGACTATTGATCAACAGAATGCTGGAACAATCTGCACAAAACATGGTATACGCTTAGGAGAAATTAAACCCTAATGTAATGTAAATAGATATGTACAACTGTATTGAAAATGTAGCAATTATTTCCATTTTCATACTTGTAATCAATACATATTATGTAGCATATACTGTATAAACATAACTTTGTTCACTTGTTTTTTTCTAAAAGAATTAAGTACTTTATCTGCTGCAGCCAGTCCATGCATTACCTATAGTTCTACTACTAATAAACAGTAAGCCCTCTAAAGAAAGGCACAGTCCAACAGTTGTTTATTTAAATGTATGCAAGACTCCCTTTAAGATGTGTTTTATTTACACCCGTTTTTTCTACATCCACTTTCATTTGTGTACAGATTTCAACGGCTCGATGTCTTGACATTTTGAATACTTTGCTGCTATCTTGAACTACTGGTGTTCATTCAACAGAAACATTATTTATATCGTGCTTATTGTTACATATTTGTTTTTATTTCTGAAAGCCACGTGAACTGAAGTTTGTACCTTGAAGAGTGAGCCCTTCTGTAATAGTATTAAGGCACTTGAATGTCTCTTGGTTGTCGTCGTTTTTATGATAGTTAGCACCAAGCTGTACAGTTACAGTGCACCCCGTGAAAAGAAGACCTATCTAAATGTTTGAGAGTCACTGCTTGGCCTTTTTGTTTTATTTCCCACCTGCTCGTGTTTGAGGGTCCAGGTTTTTCAAGCTTTTACTGAGTCCATTTTTCAAACAAACACAAGTGAGGTTGAAGGAAATGGGCAAGTGCAATGCATGCAGAGATTCCTTACACTGAAAATGTCCCAATGACACTGACTATATGTGCCCAATTTAATTCCAGATACCAAGTAAATCACCTTCTCACAGACTGACATGGAACCCTAGGTATCATTTCCAAAAATAGTTTACAGAAACTGTTGGTTTTGTGTGTCTTCTAAAACAGTGGCCATTATACGAGTGCCATACTATATATGGTAAGATACGGTGTACCTTGGAAATCACTGTAGTGCTATATTTGCATTGATATTGTCATTAAAAATAAATTTTATATAATGAACTTTACACAACAAACAGGATCTGTGCATGTTTTCATGCCTCGTGGTGTTTCACAGTGGCGATGTTGGGGAAGTGGACATTATGTTCCCACTGCAATTCTGCAGCTGGTGTTGCATCTCCCTCCATGTCCATGTGGGGGCGCTATAGTCACTCTACCCTACTTTTAGCCGGCTCATGCATAATCTGCTGCAAGATAGCACTCAGAAACAGATGCTGCATACCATCCATCAAATCTTAACCAACCTCTATAGTTTTTTTAAATTGCATACTAAGGGTGTAATGTGTTATTATAATGCAAAAAGTGAGGTTGAATGCAACTCTTATACATGTAGCTTTACGTATGCAGCTAATGCAATGTAGCCTTGCTGCATAGGCTATGTGAAGGCATTTTACTGTCATTATTTCACTATTATGAGTTTTTTTTAAAAGCTACTCAAAATCCAATATTGAGGTACCGTTTGTATTATATATAATTATCTTTCAAAGCTTATTTCTCACAAATTGTGACAATGAAGGAAAGAAAACCCTCTGGCAGGCTGCTATGAAATCTGACCCATGCTAGATGTGGTAATATGACATAATTAATAGAGTCCTTGTTTGACAACAATGCAACAATAGGGAATTCAATGTATCATGGACACTTCAGAGTCCTTTGGGGAACATCGGAGGGATGTGGGTTTTTATCTTCTGGGACATGACGATGGAGGCCTCACATCCAATAAACGGATGCCTTCAGACACCACGCGATGGGCTCTGACCGGTTGTCTGTCATGCTTCGGGCCTGCGAGGGGGGGTCGGCTGTTCAGGGCAGATGATTGGTCAGGGAGGAGAAGGAAGAGGAGGGGGAGGGGGCAGATCTGCCTGTGGGGGGGATGGAGAGGGTGGGGGTGCTGTAGAAAGAGGCGGAGGGAGAGCTTTACCGCAGTATCACTAGATTTCTGCACCACTCATCAAAACTCTGCGGCATGCAGACAAGAGCTGGGGGGAGGGCATATTCTAGGTCTGTGCTGGAGTGTATAGGACCGCTTTCTCTTTCTGTTACCATCCATCTTTCTGTTCTCAGATAGACCACAGTAGCGTGTTTGCCTTGATTTCCATTCATTTCGTGCGCTGTTTAATTGCTTCTCATATAGCCTCGGTGCTTAATTGCTAACAACCCGCCGCTTTATTGCATTAGGCCGCGTTTATTTACAGCTTGGGGATCCAAACTTGTAAGACAAAATGTCAAAGGATGGAGACAACGGGTGGAAGGAGTCTGTATGGAACCCGAGGACGAGGGAGTTCCTGGGCAGGACGGCCAGCAGCTGGGGTGAGTACTGTCCGGTTCAGCAATGCAGCAAACACGGTCCCTGGGCTCCGTCACAGTTCTTAGTCAGAGTCTCTAAAGCCCTTTATTAAGCTACAACAGGGGACTCCTTCAGAAATGAAAGTGTGTTACTGTAATATCAATTTCACCTAAGTTATTTTGCCCAAGGTAATGAGTTGTCTGTCGCTTTCCACTAATGCCTGGTGCTGGAATCTGAATGCGGCATAATGTGGAAGCCAGTGCAGGAAAAACACCTTCCTGCCTGGCTTCTGTCTTTATTTATTAATTTATGGCACAGCTTTCGCTGCGCAATGCGCCCAACATAGGGGTGGGGAGGCATATGTACTTATTTCACATTTTGAATTAGCCAGATTACTGCAGCACTGCTGAAACAGGTCCCACTCTGTTGCAAAGTGCACACCATCTCGTAGGAAGCAACAAGAGAGTCTTAGCCAGCTTTATTGTGAATTCTGCTGCGGGTATAATACTTTCTTTCACAGGGAGATGGGGTTGCTGAAGTTAAAGAAGGTTTGCACGCCTGCAGTTTTATCCAATGAGCCTTCAACATGATGTCATTCATTTTTCAGGCTTTTCCCCCCCCAGTGATTTTGAAAGGAAGATCCAACACCCTGCCACACTCACTGTCCTCCTTTCTGCAACAAGCAGCCTGCATCTTTTTCAAAGAGTCATGAAACGATAGGGCGCATATGGCTCAGTTCTAATGACATTGGAGCGTTTTAATCTGGGTAAAGCCGAGGGCCAAAAGCTATTTGTATCACCTCCAGGCCGGCCCCTCCCAGTGACTGTAAATCAGGGAGGAATATAATCCTAATCTAATGACTTCATTGGCTGATGGGGAGGGTATCAATTCACGGGGTAGGATAGCAAAGTAAACCACTTTCAGGAATTTAAATCATTTTTTATATTAACACTGGGACTCAACGGCACTTTAGTTTAGTGCTTGTGGTGGGAATAAAGTGATTTTACTCGCAGTGGTATTCTGGTTGTGAGTGGACATTGTACGCTGAGTGCTTGTGTTAGGAATCACCAGCTGTAGCTTCCTCTGCTGAAATCCTCCCGCATTGTACAGCTTAATCCAGCTCAGTGCGTCCCAGGTGCATTGAGGTCTGGTGGCCTTTTTAAGCTGTGCTCTCTAAGGCTTGTTAATTAGGCTATTTCTGTAGTCAGCCACTACTTGTAAACTTGGCATTTTGCCCTTCCTCATTCCCTTGACGGTGCATTCACCTACTGTACCTAATCTTTTCTGACTTGATTGCAGCCAATATATCAAATTTACATTTAGTTTTCTCAACAAGCATCGAGAAAATAGGCAAAATAACACTTGTCAGGTTGCCAGTCTCTTTTAAAAGGCGAATGTGTTGTTCCCACTCGTAATTATATGCAGTATAATGTACGTGCAGAGCATCAGATCAAAGGCTTCTTTGAGGATGAAACACAGATGTGTGTTCTGCTTTGTGTAAAGAGCTGTAATCATATGCTAAATATTGCTAAAACTGTGCACTCCTGCATTTAGATATTACACTGCCACTAGCTGACATTAGGCAAACATGGCTGCTTTTATTTAAAACAGGACTAATGAAGTGTTCTGCACCTCCCACTTCCAGAAACAGCAAAAAGGCTTTCACTGTAGGAGCCTTGAAGGAGCCTTATGGGAAACAGAGCCATGGTGCTGTGTAAGATGGCTGACCGTACAAGATTATAAAAAGATTTACATTAAAAGATCCACTGCGCTAAGCTATTTATTCCATCTCCAGAGCATTTCATTGATCTGTTTGATCACCAATTTACAAAGCTGTGGCCCTCTAATTAATTCTGAAAGGAAAGAGACACCTCCTGCCATTAATGCTGAATAAAGGACAGGATGCTGAGCCAACCGGCACGGCGTTTTGTTCTTTGCTTTCAACTGCCGTTTGCTAACACAAAACCCAAAGTGAAAGAGAGATGCTTCAGCGTCCATCATCACTGGGACTGAGAGGGCAGACATGAGAACATAACACCCTTTTTGCCACGGGGAAAGCCACCCTGCCTGCACGATGACCCCCATTTGTACGACTGCGCATCCACTCTCCCCCGGGTGGGGTCATATTCACAGTTCGCACAACATCCCCCCTGGACGACCGGTGAAAAAACACTTTGTTTTGTCACGTCGTAGCTCTGATGCTACTCTCTCTCCCCGCTGTAGTGCCTCAGGCTTGGTCCGGGGCCTCTGTTTATTTGTAATGACTCTGCTTGGATCATTTCCATGTGACAGACGGGAAGGCTCTCTCTCGCGTCTTCTTTTACTTTCAATTCGAGTAATTCCAGGAACAATTGGATAAAACACACACACACACACACTAGCTTTAAATAATCCTCTGTAATGGCCCCCGTGGAGCAGCTTCCCCCTTGACATTTTGTTATGGATTCCTGTGAGCCTGGCTGCTTGGGAGGCAGATGCCGACCCGCTGACAGGCAGTGAGCTCCACGCTGGGGGCCGTCCAGCAGAGGCTCCGGGGTCGAGAACGCAACGCAGGGCCTCAGGTGTCGATGCTTAAAAACGAAGGATGTGTCATAAAGAAAAGAGCTATTTATGTTCCCCTGCTCTCTGTGCAGACCGAAATGCCTGAGGTGGGAGCACACAGCTGCTTCAAACGTATTTCCATGAAGGAAACAGCACATCCATAGAGGAGTCATCGAACAATAAACCATTTACAGAGTGTGGAAATGTCAATTTAATGTTTTAGACAATTCATTTAAGCCTTACTATTCAGAACAATAATAAGCTTTCTCTTTAAAGGAGAAAAAGCTTCATGCAAATAGAATAAAAAAGTGGTTTTGGAGTGTCACTTGGAGAAATGTCACCTGATGAATAATCAGAAAGGATTAGACAGATAAATAAAAGATGAGAAAAACAATGATTAGTGGCAGCCCTACTTTCGTTCTAATGTAACATTATCTCTATAGGCTTCTTACATGAAATAGGTCCGAGGCTATGATGGCATGTAATCTCCTGACCCTGTGGACCGGTCTCCAGGGGGTCCTTGTCCTCCTCCTCCTGTATCCCCCTCTTTCATCACACCGCCCCCCTCCTCGTGGACAGGGAAACTCTATAATGAAATCGATCAGAGAGCAGCCTTTTCATCTTGCTTTAATGGACGCAAATATGTGTGGAAAGCAACCCAAAGAGATTGTGTGTTCACCAATTAAATGATTCCATTCATGCCAATGTTCCACCATTAATGTATTTTTAAGCACCTAAAGGACTTGTGGGAGTGGGATAGAGAGAGACAGATGGAACGAAGCGATGCCGGTTTAATGAGGATTAACTTGCCTCCTGTGACCATTAGTTGTCAGAAAGTGACCACACAGACACAACGCAGAGGCAACATTTAATTAAAATCTACTCACATGTAAGATTAGTCTTAGTTCATGTGGTATTATGAATTAATGATCAGATGCTCGGCAATTGCCAATGTCCAATGTAGCTTTTCCTTCTTAAATCAAATCGAAACCCTCTCACTGTAATCCACTGCCACCTGCACAGCAAGGGTGGGGAATACAAGTCCAGATACAGCAGTTACTCTCACAGATTGAATAGTCATCGTTTTTTATTCCATAATGCATAATAAAACATGAAAGGCTTGGTCTTCATGTAGCTGAAGACTCTTTACAACTTACATTACAAACAATATTACATTATGTTTAGAAATGGTACAATTACTCAATTAGCGAACAATTGAATTCCTCCTGAAAATGAAAAAATGTACAGAAAGAAATAAGGTACATGATTTAATGAAATGTCTCATACAATTAATACAACTCTCCTTTCTCTCTTTGTCTGCAGGTCTTATTCTTCTCTTCTATTTAGTTTTCTACATCTTCCTGGCCGGCATGTTTTGCCTCACCATGTACGTCATGCTGCAGACCTTGGATGACCACAAGCCGAAATGGCAGGACAGGCTCTCCACGCCAGGTGCGCTAAACTAATGATCCTGTCCTGATCCTCCTTTTGTGATCACAGTCCAGTGTCTCCGTGTCCTGACCCCATCACCTCTGTCTCTCACAGGTATGGTGATTAGACCCAAAGCAGATGAGTACTACGAGATCACCTACAACACCCAGAAAACCGAGAGCTGGGACATGTACGCTCAGACTTTGGACAAGTTCCTGTCGCGTAAGTCTGGCCTCTTCACCTCTAAAAGCTTACTGTGGATTATCCAGCTATCTCGCATGAATTGTATTTTACCCGAGAAGAGATTATTCCTTTAAAATGGGTTGGAGATTGCCTTTGGTTTTAGTCAGTGGTTGAAGTGCTCTACATATTTATAATTGCAGACTGAAACACCACTGTTCCTCTTGTGCCTTGGCCATTAAAAAATAAATCAAATATCACTTAAAGAGTTTAGCCCATTTGAAACTAATGCACCAGCACTAACAATGAGTTTGCTTATTTCAAATGCACATGCACTTTTCTTGTTGTTATGATCTTTAGGCTTTATTGCACTTATTGTAAGTGCACTTATTGTAAGTGGCTTCGGATAAAAGCAGTGTAAAAATACTCAAGTAGGCCTACAGGTCAAAGTAACTGCATTAAGAATGGTACATAACGTACAAGTATTTAAGTATAATTGTCCAAATGTACTGAAAGTAATAGCAGAAAAAAACATTGAGGTATTAAAAGGGTAAGCAGCACATCTGAGGAGCTGGAACTGTAACATGTCTTCATACTCTTTGTTTTTGGTTAATTTCCATCAAAACATCATTTTTTAAAAGTTGTATGTTGTGCAAATCTAAATCTATGAAGTAATAACTCTTCAAAGTAAATGTAATGAGGTAAAAAGTACGATATTTCCCGTTGAATGGTAGTGGAAAATAACTATAAAGCGGCACAGGACGTGAACAGTAAATTAGCTCATAATGCTATATAGGTTAGCACTTCCGGTGTTTCCATAGAAACACAACGTCCGCGCAGATAAATGGGTCCGCGTATCGTTTGAATGCAGTTTGAGTTTTACACACAGAATAACCCCCCCGCTACCTTACAGCCTACAACAACACGGCCCAAGTGGAGAAGAACAACGAGTGCAAACCGGACGAGTACTTCAAGCAGGAGGATAGCGGCGATGTGAAGAACAACCCCAAGCGCTCGTGTCAGTTCAACCGCACCATCCTCGATGAGTGCTCTGGAATCACTGACCGTTACTATGGATACCAGGGAGGCCAGCCGTGCATCATCATCAAGCTAAACCGGGTAAGAAGGAGGGCAGGAGGGGGGAGGGGTGCTGTTGCTAGGAGACATGGAGACAGTGATAATGAAACTGGTTTGATAAAAATAGGGCAGAAAGGCGAGCACAGTAAGAACAAAGAAAGCCAGTATTAAGATTAGTGGAGATTAATCCACGCATCCATGATGTCATCAAATTAAATCCTATGGAGGAATAACGTTTTGTGACAGATGCAACCTTTTAAAATAAAGTAAATAAACAATAATATAGACATTATGAAGTTATTGTAAAATTGTATTATATTATTATATTATTATATATGTGTTATATTTAAATGATTTAATAATCGTTCATTTTTCATGCACTCATTTGAGAAAAGGCCGTATTTATGGAGATTTTTTTTTTTTACATAACACAAACTGAAATTGACATTTAAGCTTTTTTTTCTAACTAAACGAAAAATAATCTGCAAATATTTTGATGATTAATCGTTCATATTTCATGCACAAATCTCAATTTGTAATCCCTTTGCTTTGGATTTAAGGCATAATGATAAAGATTGTTTCTTTGTTTTGTTTGAAAATACTTTAAGTGTAATCTAAACAAAGAGCATCCATGGACAATAAAGTTAATACATAAAATGCTGTTTTTCTCCCTCTCAGTATGGAGATTTCTTAATTAAAATATATATATAATTTAAAAGTTGATATCTGGGTATTTGGAAGACGTTTAAAGAGATTACTTTAGATTTTCAGACTGCACTGGGCATTTCACAAATTTTCTCAGATTCACCAAACTAGCAATCCTGTCAATAATGAGCAGATACATTGATAATGAAAATACTAATTAGTTACAGCCATATCGATTATAGTCATTGGTTTTTGCACTTACCTTTTATTTCTGGCAATTGGGACATGACTGTGTGTTTAAATGAGAGCACATTGCGGACGGTGTTGGAGACTTCTTGTGTTTCTGTCTCTCCAGGTGATCGGGATGCTGCCAGGAAAAGATGGACAGGCTCCGTTTGTCACCTGTGGCGCAAAGGTAATCCCTTTTTAGTCCTTCCACAATGAAAGGCTTCACACAGCAATTTGGATTTCAGCCCAGTCGTGGCTATTGTCCCTCCCTCTCATCTGCAATATGCCACCAATCACTCATCATCTCCATTCCCTTTAATGTCCTGTATCATTTCAACTATCATATCTGTACTGCATGCCATTTTGTCATTCACACCACTTGTGCATGTTCCTCCTCTCTTTTCCATTAATGTGCTCACTCTCAGAGATACAAAATTGGCAAAAATGAATGGGTAAGAACGGGATGTGACCTCGATTACAGATTTTAGATTAAAACATTAATAGTAGTAGCGAAGATGCTAGATGTGTGTATATCAAGATAACGTGTTTGTTTTAGATTTACAGAAGGATATAGATTAGGCTCACTTTTTCCTCTCCTAATTATATGTTGTGATGCATGAAGTGGCTGCATCTCATGACGGTGTTTCACCCCCACAGAAAGAAGACACTGAAAAGATTGGCGAGTTGCAGTACTTCCCTCCCAATGGCACTTTCAACCTTATGTACTACCCTTACTATGGCAAGAAAGCTCAGGTAAGATCACGTCAGAAATCCCTACTTGGTACATTTTGCCCAGGGTTGGTAGGGTTACTTTAAAAATGTATTCTGTAACACTTACTAGTTGTATTACTTCAATATCAAATGTAATGCAACAACAGAACAATGTGACCAGAAAAGAAGAAAAAGATATTTAGAATAAAAAATGTGTATATAGGAAAACCTGTCTTGCATTAAGCATATTCAGGCAGTAGCCTATACACCAACAATGAAACACATGAGCACATACTACAGTTTAAAGAAATCTGTTTATCAAACAAACACAATCTGAGCTGACTCAAAGACACTATGTTATGAACATATAGGTTCAGGTTGTACTGAATACAAAAAAGAAAAGTTGAACCAAAGAAAGTGAAAAGCAGATTCAGGCAGTAGGCGTAGATTCACACGTAAAGAATTAGCTTACAGAACAGTACAGTTTACAGAGAAGAAATCAAATCCGACCCTTTCACAACAAACAATATGTCTGTTTTTATGCAACAGTAAGGGGGAACACTTACTTTTTGTCGTATCCTGATTACGTAATCCCGTTACATGCAATCCGAGCCTTCGTTACTGTAGCTGTCATCTCCAGCTGGCTCATTAGAGATGAATCAGACATCCAGTGCTGTGTTTAAAGACGCCCCTTTGCTCTGTTTCTGCAGGTGAACTACTCCCAGCCTTTAGTTGCCGTCAAGTTCCTCAACATCACTACCAATGAAGACGTCAACATCGAGTGCAGGATCAACGCCAACAACATTCCCACTGGAAGTGAAAGAGACAAGTGGGCCGGAAGAGTGTCTTTCAAGCTGAGGATCAACACTATATAGGTTGACCTTTTTGTTGTTTCTCTCCTGAAAAACCAATTTCTTCATTTTCTGCAACATTGCACATACACAGAAACAAATCTCAGTATTCACACCCTTTGTAGAATTTGTTTACAACCCCTTCCTCCCCAAAAACAACTTCTGGGCGGGGAAATTGTTTGTCCAGTTTTGTGATGAGATGGGGCGAGAATAAAAGGGTGGTAATCCTGTCATTATTTCTGTCTGTGAGCTTTGGGATGAATTCTTTTCTGTAAATTAGTTTGAGGTGACGTCTATTTATACTGCATGACAAACTAGGGGATGTAAAGAATGTGAACATGTGTTTTCAAAGTTTGCAAAGGATCAGCAACATTAACACTTTACTGCTGCCCCCCTCCTGCTGCCTCCTTATAGAGTACCCCTCTCTATACCAATATACACAAATTACAATACAAAATGTGTATATCTACAGTATTTATACGGTATCATAACCTTATATTAGTACGTCTATTTTGTTGCACTTAAAAGAATAATCCGACAGACTCGTGTATATCGGGTGGATGCAGAGATGAAGCCATTTTGCATGTGTGTATTGTCTTAAGTGTGCTACGAGGGCAGGAGGCCCCTACGTCTCACCACCTCTCTGCTAAGTGTGAACTAAGGTTAAAAAAAAAAACACCAACCACCAGGAGGGGCCACACTGTAATCTACTAAACCCTTACACACAGCAAGTGTGTGTTTCGCTAACAACATACTGTAAGATACGCATCTCCAACATTAAAAAAAGAATGGAGTTACAGGAGAGGTTAAAACCTTTAAGAGTGCGTGTGTTTGTGCATGTGTGTGTGTGCGTGCGTGTGTGTGTGTGTGTGTGCTCCATTCACGGGTCCCATTTCATACTGTAGGTCGGGAAGTTGCATGCAATGTGCAATATTCATTAAGTGGCATACATTATGAATGCTTGAGTCCATTCTACGGATGAGAGGACTTCCATTGAATGATCATTATTTTGGATCATTTGATATTCATACTGGTTGTTTGACCTTTCTGAAACAGGAGTGTGTTCACGTTTGTGTCGCTTGGAGCGTTCATATTAACCACGAAAGGAGACATCAATGTTTCACATGTCTTACAGGATCCTCGTAGTTTGAGAAAAAACTAACAATCCCTCCGATCCGACCACCTGAATATCAAATGAAATCACATCAACACATTCCTTTACCGTCATTTTATTCCTAAAGCTAAACCAAGAGCCATTTTATTGTGTCTCTATTTTGATTTTGAATATTTAGAAAGGTCTTTTTTTTGTGCGTGTATTGCATCTATTTCATATGTATCAGAAATAGATGCGATTGTCATTTTGTATTGATTTACACTGCAAGTGTGCTTTGAATTCATTGTTGTACAGTTTTGGAGGATGTAGAAGTTTGTGTTTTGTTCCCTTTTTTCTTTCAATCACACCCATTATCATCCTCTAAAATATCATCCAGGGTATCGAAATGTATAGTTTACAAATTCCGTTATTGGTGACTAGAGTCTTGAATAATATGTGAGTTGGTAGTTTTGTTTTATAGTCCTGTAGGGAAATGGACACACTGGAGATCTCCTTCCTAGAGGGGGATGCTTTTTCCTTTTATTTGTTCCCCCCCTCCCCCCCTCCCCCCCCCCCCCGCCTGTATGAATCAGTCTGACGGCATAATGATAACTAGACGACCAGTTTATAAACCACCATGTTGGAAAAGCATAGATGAAGCCTGAATATGGTGCTGTTTACTCGACGTGCATTCATTCAGTGTGCGGTAAAGGCTATTGTAAGAGACACCTGCACATGTTGGCGGGCTAAATCTGTGCAGTCACGTTTTGAAGTTCGGTCACTTTAATTCGGCTACAGATTGCAGCAATCCTGCAAATGTGGAACAGGCATCTGTTCACTCACATTAAGGCCTGGCTCCACTCCACCATTCCTCTCAGAGCAATGTGTTCCTCTCGTAAATATCTCTGGAGTAGGAAGTCATTATATAAGAGACACAGATCTGTTATTGTCTGAAAGGTTATTTATAATGAGGGGTGTGTACCACCACTCAACTGAGGCTCTCTTGTCTCTGACTATCCACTGACATGTAGTTCTCCTCTGGCATTCCTGCTACACTTACTTAATGTCACTGTAATCTCTTAATCTGGTGAGCTAATCCGGAGCAGGCACGCTCCACTTCTTTACCCTACTTTGTCGCTCCTCCCCCTCATGTCAAAGGATTCTGCAACATTTTGTGTCAATTCAATCTCTATTTACCCCCAATCATTCTTAAATTCATCTAAAAATAAATGCGTCATTGCTGATTTGGACATTGTGTTTTTACTCATGTGCATGTGAAGATTAGCTCTTCAACCAAAGATCTTCATCAAAATTTGATTTATTTGCAATCACACATCCTCTGCAGAGATAGGGTTCAGGTGGAGGGATTAACACCCCGTGTAATATAAGAAAGGCCTGCTCTTATATCATAATAATAATAATAATAATAGTAATATGCACCAAAGCAACGTGTCTCGCTGCAACATAACAGTGCCTCCTGGTGGACAGACAGTGATGTCCCCCGGTGTCACAGAATGTTATTTCCTGTTATCTCCATGTATGTTTCTTTTCTTCCTCTGTGATAATTTGGAGATGTCCCCAAAAAGCAATATGTATTTCTTGTGCGGATATATTTATTAGAAAGGCTCATGAAAAGCGAAGAAGAAGAAGAAGAATAGGATGTTGCAGTCAGGCAGTTTTGCCAGCATGGTGATGGAATATTACAAACAAAGTGTTGTTTTATTTATAAGAAAAGAGTATTTTTATTGCTATTTTGTTGTAAAGAGGAGAGAATGTATGAACTTGGATTGTATCATGTCGTGGGAGCTATACCTGATAGGTGTTTAGCATTTAATTCAACGAACGGGGACATTTTAACAGCTTGGATGGAAAAGTGTTTTTTAATAGAGGAAAATGTTTGGTCATGGCTCGAGTCCTTTCTAAATTAAATTGAGATCAATGTTTGCAAATGGAAGTTTTCTGAAACTAAGTGTTCAGACATTAAAGGGAAAACATCAGAAAAGCCTTCAGAGAACACTTTCAAGTGCAAACCAGAAACTCTTCAGAACAAAACTGCAACCCGGCCCAACGCAAATGTCAGAGAGAATCAACTACTTTCAAAGAAGGAGTAATTATATCAAACCTCACNCCCCCCACCTTTCCAAACCCCTCGTCTTAAATCGTACTTTTGCCTAAGACTGTGGTGTAGGTATTTCATGAAATTTGTCGAGACACCCTCGCCCCAAAAAGGATGATAATTATATTCTGGATCTTTATGTTTTGCTCTTACTGTATGTACATTTTTGCTCATGTTTACTGCAAACCAAGATAGAGAAATAAATAAATGTCATTTAAGGGAACTCTGACTCACCCTTTATTTCTCTTTCCTGTCATCTTTGGTGTTTTATGGATGAGAGAAGGGATTTATAATCCAAAGACAGAAGCAGAGATGGTGATGTGCATCCTTTCATTGTGGCTTACTATGAGTCAAATGATGGGTGTTGCAATCAACTGGTACTGACGAAAACCATGACATTTAAAAAATGTAATCTTAAAATACTACTTTTCAAATATTCCAGCGCCTCTTTTGCACAGATACAGTTAAAGACTCTGCACACTCGTTTTAAGTCAAATGCATTTGCAAGCATTTTTCCAAAACACACAACAGACAAAGTTTAATATGGTCAGACAGATATCATTATTATCGCAGATTTTTTTTTAGCTACAATAACGTTGTAGTGAAAAACTGATGTTGAGTCAGGTGGTCACATTTAGTACGGTGCCGTAAGGTGGACAGAAAAAGAAGCTATAGTCAATGTCAAAAGCAGCGTCAGGTAATCTACATTAATCTCTTTCTCTGTAATCCTCGGCCTACAGCACCACTGAACTCCGGAGTTTAACTCTCAAACTGACACATGCTATCTGTGTGAGTAACAGAGGTGTGAAGTAACTACGTACATTTACTCAAGTACTTAAGTACACTTTTGAGGTGCTGGAGTATTTCTATGTTATGCTAGTTTGTACTTTTACTCCACTACATTTATTTAATACCTTTAGTTACTTTACAGATGTGGATGAATGATGTGAAATATAATCAAGTGTTAAATTAGACTTTAGTTCCACCTGGAGTAAATTCACAAGCTACCCTGCAGTATACAAAGTCATTCAAACTAGCTGCACCTTTACCAGCTTTGAGAACACTTTAATGATCAATCACATATCATATTATTCTGAAATGGACCAATCTTCACAATGACTACTTTTACTTTTAGTATATTTTGATGCCAATGCTTTTCTACTTTTACTTCAGTAACATTTTGAATGCAGGACTTTTACTCTAACAGAGTATTCCTTCACTCTGGTACTTTTTTTACTCAAGTACAAGATCTGAGTACTTCTCCACCTCTGGTGAGTAATGCAAGTAATGAGAGTATCTACACTTTATTTTACAAGACGAAGCAGTGGCGTTTCTTAACAATTTGTGTTATTTGTTTTGGCAACATGATTTTTTTCATTAACTTAGTGACACATTTCTTTTATCAATTATTGAAAAAAAAAACATTCCTGTTGACTTTGGCCAAGGTTACAGCACAGTGCTATCACAAATATCACTATCATAGATTACTCTTTATGGCGGGGGGCCTCAGAGGGGTCAAAGGTAAGTGTTACAGGGGCACTGGCACATGTTGCCCCCCCCCTCTAGAACAGCCCCTGAGAGGAAGAGAGTATGTAGTGGAAATACCACGCGCAACATGTCAGCCTCCTAACACATCACAGGTCAACTATCACAGATTGAAGTCAAACTCAGACGTGTGAATTAAGATTTAGATTGGGCTGTTCTTTCTGTCCTTTAGGACTTTGCTTCCCTATATTCTGCCTCCAGCTGCTTGACGAGATTACAGCCGAGGAGCACTTCCTCCCTTTGACCTTCAGCCATCCCTCCTGTCTCCGTTTCTCTCCTTCAGACTCTATCCTTATGTCTCCTTCCCTCACCGTCTCCTCCTTAGAAAGACTGAGCACAGTTCACCGAACGGTAGATAGCCATGGGATTACGTGGCATTAGAGGTATTTGTGGGTTTAAAATAGTCTGATCAAGAGTAGCGTAGGTGACAGATACCTCCACACAATTATCCATGTTAAACCTTCTACATATCATAGATATTAAAAAAATAAGCAATCCATTGATATTTTTCAGATCATGACTAAAAAAATATATAAACCTATAATTTTCTGACAAAGTGTAATTATGAGAGGGAAAGCATTTGTATTGCGGTTAGAAATCCTGTCTTTTTTCCGACAGCAGATTATATCCACCATTACATGTATGTTGGGAAATGGAGATGTGTGTGGAAGAGCAGTGGAGCCTCTGCTGGACGGTAGGAATCACTGCACAGTTCAGTGGCATTTAAATGTCAATGTTATCACATTACTGGACCACACAGAAACGAGCCAACTAGATTCTCTCTTTTTTCTTCTTCCTTCGTTTTTTTTTAAAGATATTTAATCATTCTGAACATCATTCAGCCATTTACAATATAAAACAGGAACAATCAATTCTCCACACTCACACTACAGTTGCATTTCAGTACTGTATTGTCCTTTTCTCAGCACTTGTTGATTTGTTGTGTAAAACCTCTTAAATCATGATAGATTGGTCCTAGATTTAAGGGCTACAAGGCAGCTAGACCTAGTCAGTTTTTGAGGTAGCATACAAAATCACCAAGCATTAAACAGCAGTCATTTTCAATAATATTCTGAATGTAAAAAAATCACATGTGAGCAGGGGTTGGCACAAAAACACAAATCAATAAATTACAAAATCACCCCCCCCTGCGATGATCTCCAGCACATCCTAAACTGAACAAAGGTTACAGTGGTGTTTAGCTTATCTGTGCACCTGCTTAAATAATTCAAAGCCAGCCTAGATGCATCATCAGCTGCCCTTACGGTGTCGAGATGTGATCTCATAAAATATGATAAGGAATGTCCACAGATCGAAAGCAAACACACTTTCAGTATCAGTTGATTGTTGACGCAACACTTTGGTTTGGAGGAAAAATATGGCACGTATGAATTCCAGCAGTAAAAAGGCCATTTAAGTTAGCACCACGTTTTGTAGCTGTGATGCCCAGGATATCTTGAAGACAGTGCAAATATGGTCAAGTCTCACAGCCATTTTGTATTTCTAGGGCAAGTCCAGCATGTTATTTTCTTCCAAGGCACTCTGCGTCCTGTCGTAAACCTCTCCCAGGGATTGTACCACTCTTTTTAGCAACATGCTCAGCTCCTCCTGGTTCTGCACACACACCAGTCGGAAGAAGAAAGTCCGCTCCGGCATGGCGATGAAGGCCAGCTCAGCGGCCTTGCGGACCAACCATGTGTGGTGGTGAGCGAGGGTCCTCTGATACGCCTCTCTGCAGAGCTCCGAGGGGCTCCTGAGCCGACCAGCCACCGGTGTTTCAGACAGATTCTCCAGGAAGAGCTTCAGCCAGAGCAAAGCACGGTGCAATCGGAGGAGAGTTCGACACCCAGAGTCCGTTTGGTGGTAGAAGTTCACCTGCCCTCGGCCAAGCTCTGTCCAGATCATGGTGCGCACAGAGTGGTAAGCACCAGTGTGTTGTGAGGCCTCCTTATCAGTCTTTTCCCCAGCTTCTGTGACCTCTCCGTTTATTGAGTGTATATCCGGGCCCACCAGCTCTGCTTCAGGGTCCACTTCTGCCAACAGGGCCAGTTGGCGGATTATAGAGGTCTTGGTTTCTATCTCGTTCGATATCAGCCCCACCATCGGTCCCATAGCTTCCATAAACCTGGAGGAGTCACACAGAGCAGGATGAATTATCTTCAGAGTCCATATCATGCCATAAACCATAGGATACTCCCTTCTAAGTGTTTGTAAATGACTCTGTATCTGATGACTTCACCCAGGGTTCGGAGGGTTACTTTAACAAAGTGTTCTGGTACAATTACTAGTTACATGATGTAAGTTAAAGTAATCGGTAGCGTTGTCGATTGTAACCAAGGTATTATGTAAGAACATTGTAACCTTAGAAAAGAACAAACCAAGATATTAAGTATGAAAAAAGGTGTCCCCTTCATTAAGCATATTCAGGCAGTAGCCTATACACATTCTACAGTTTAAAAAAGCAGAAATAAAATCTGAGCTGACAGAAAATTCTCCATTTTAGTTTAAAACACATGGTGGGGTAGGTAATTTTGGAGAAACCAACTCGAGTGCGCTAGAATTTGAAAATACACAGCCGGAAAAAATCTGCCACTTCCTTACAGAGCCCCTCCTCCAACACACACAAACGCGCACATGACCAATGAGGGCACGAGATAAATGTGTGCACGAGATGGAAGGCTGACAGGCAGGTAGGCCATCCAGTTATTTTAGCCGGGCCGGCTCAGATGATTGGTCTTGCTTTTTACAGTACTACGGCTTCCACAGATTTTTAAGGATTTTTAGTCAAAGCACTTAAGATATTCATTGCTATCTGGATGTTAAGAGCATTCCATGGAATATAACAAAAAGTGTATCTCGAGCCGGTTTCTCAAACTTGCCTACCCCACCTTTAAGCACACACACTATTTTATGAACATATAGGTTCACTAATGAAACGCTTGAAAACGATAGAGTAGCCTAATTCAGGCAGTAGGTCTATAGATTAACACTCAAAGTATTAGCTTAAACAACAGTAGGCTACAGCTAACAAAGAATACATAAAATCGGATCCTTTTACAACAAACACTGTGCGTCTTTTTAGTTTTTGAAACATTCCTGCTAGTCATCCCCGATTTTGAGAAATGTAACAGTTATCTCAGTTACATGTTTTTGTAATCTGATAACGTAATCCTGTTACATGTACTCCCCAGGTCTGATACCTCACAAGCTTGTCCCAGCTGGACAGCTAATATTAACCGAAGAACCAAGATATTCAGTATCAAAATGTGTCTTCTGTCAGAGTTCTTATTTATAGGAAAACCTGCCTTTCATGAAGCATATTCAGGCGGTAGCTTTTTTTTTACTGCACATATTTTATATTGTATTCCATTCTATTTCAATGTAAATACTGCTTTATTTTATTTTTCATTCGACTATTTTTGTTCTCTATCTGTGTTTTTTAATATTTGTTTTAATTGTATGTATGCATCCTGATACCAAGTCAAATTCCTCATACAGTACGTGTCAACCTACCTGGTAATAAACCTGTTTCTGATTCTGATTTCTGATACACCAACAATGAAACACATGAGCACATACAGTTCTTTAAATGCATACAGTTAAACTATCACACAATGTTACCTGACGAGCTCGTCCCAGCTGGACAGGTACGGCTGCAGCAGGATGTCGGAGGTGAGTTCAGATGCAGCCTGCAGGTGGGACAGCAGCATGGACACCTGGAAGGTCTGACCCGGGCACCCCTCGATGACCTGTAACCCCTCGGCTCCATCGGCCCCACTGCTGTTGTACAGCTGGTGGTGGAGCTGCCAGTGGGGGATGGGAGGTGTGTGAGTGTGTGTGGGGGATGGGGGACAGAGAGAGAGAGAGAGAGAGAGAGAGCGGAAGTGATTCACCACATTTAAATTAGCCATCTGCTTCACAAAGACCTTATGGAGGAGATCTAATAAGTGCTTTATAATTTGCATTTGCTCTTACCGTGTTCCCCTGATTATAACCCTTTAAACAGGAATCCCAGTGGTAATCCAAACCTCCGTCTGCAGTGAAACAAAGTCAAGAGAAACAAGAGAAAATCCCTGTTAATGTTCATAAACACTTTTCCACTGAAACAGAGACTTCTTTTTTTGATAATGTTGCAAACACAAGTACAATATAAGCTGTGGGTGCATTTAACTAATACAATTGAATATTTACAGGTTTGTATTTCCATATTAATTATTGATTATTATGGGACATCATTAAACTTGTAATAACTGTGGTTTTTCTGGCCACTTGGGGGCAGAAGAGAGCACGGTTAAAGGTAATATGGCGGACAAAAAACTTGGTTTATTTACCGTGTATACAATCTGGTTCAATAAGAAACATACAGACGATGCAAAGCAACATTTGCCGATAGACTAAGTGGTATACAGCGTTAACAAAATGGTAAGAAGAAGAGGAAAACAACAACAACAACAACAACAAAAGACGAAGAAGAAGAAGAAGTCGTGTTTCTGGAATTCTGTGAATGTAAGTCAAATATATTCTGTTATGTTAGCTCTGTGTGTTGCTAATGCTACCACCAACTCTTTATCTGCCAGCTGAAAATCGAGATTGTTTAGCCTTTTCACTGAAAACTGCTTCCTGCTTCGGCTGTTTAGTGATAGTGAACAGACACAGTATAAAGTTGAAGCCAGATGGCAATGAGCTTTGAGGAAGTCACTAAATCTCCATTGAGCCAAAAGGCTGCCGACTCAGGTGATTCATTTCTGTGAGTGACCCCATTGTGTCGCATTGACTTTTGATTGTACAACATATCGATTTAAACCCGTTTTAAATTAGATGAAAGTATTTCTCATGGCTCATTACAAGCATCCCTGTCGTGTAGCAGATCTGTTATTCTATTGAACCCTTGTGTTATGTTCACATTTCGCACCCTGACCCGGGACATATTTCAGGGTTTAAAAAAAATACAAAATTCAACATGCTCAATTCCTTATATATATTGTCTTTAACTCATTCCCCAACAATATAAATGAAATATATGATTAGTTTTTGAAAATACTCTTTGCTAGATCAAATTTAACAATGGAAGTGTCCATCGCTTTTTGTGATAAAAATGTAATATATGTTAAAAAAAAAATACACTGTAATAAAAACTAGGTTTACATTTTACATTTTACATCTTGGACAAATGTAAATGAAATTTGTTTTCATTAATGTTTATTATTTTTAATCTGTCATATAATAATCAAAGCCCTGAAGGAAATAAAGCAATTTATCAGCAATTGGAACACAAGAACCACACATCCAAAAGTATTTGGCTGTGAAATATAGAGAGAATGAAACATCCTTATAAATTACATAGAACAGATATAAACACAAAGCAAATAAAAACAAATTAAC